CTGTAGCACCACAACCGCAATCCCTACACTGGATCATGAATTAATCACAAACTCTACAAACCTTCACCATGACTGCATTAGGCTTTGTGGGGACCACAAACCATAACATTGCATATGGCAGGTTTAGAAAGAGAGTTCCCTTTCTATTAACCCCTACAGCCCACCTCTCCAATTCCTGTGTCCTTCCTTTCTTTTTATGTCTTTGTAGATAGTGGGTCATATTTTTATATTATAATCAACATAGAAATAAACTTCACTGTTTACTTCTCTTGGTTATATGTCTTACATAATGTGAAAACATAAACATTGATATACTTTAATGTGTTAGAGAGTTTGTGTTAGAAAACCTCTCTGCATTACTTTAGAGCATCTACCTTTTGAATATGATTAGAAATATGATTAGAAATGATTAGAATATGATTAGAAATCTGCATATATCTATATCTGCATATACAAAATAGGATAGATATACAGCTACTTTCTCTTAATTCAATGAGAAGAAAGATTTGTACTAATAGTGATTGGACAGGATTTCATGTCTGCATCTTGTACTATGAATAACTACTACGAAGACAACAATAGGCAATGTATTAATTATTGTAACTGTCCTACTAACCTATTTTGAAACTGTCTCATTGCTATTTCTTTCTCAATAAAATTAATTTTTAAAGAAGAGGCATCTTGTTTCTCAAATCCCCTGAAGTCTGACTATTTAGACAATGGGGTGGGGAAGGAACAATTTGAACATCCATCCCCTAACTTCAGGGAAAAGATCCAACTGTTCCAACATCTTTACCAGTTTATGAGGGGGAAAACATTAGTGACAAAAGTTTCAGGCTGAAAATCAGCAGGCAGGGGTCTTACCTTGATGCCAAAACAGTGCTAACCTAGGTAACCTGTTGAGCCTCTCATGGCCACAGATATTTTATTTTCCAGTGAGGGAACTGAACTAAGTATCTCTTAGTTTTATGATTCTTCCTTTCTTCCCAAATCCTACTATCAGGAAGAGTCCATTTTTTTCTTCTGTCAAGTGAAGAATAATAGCTTAATAATCTCAGAGGATTTTTTTGTGAGGATAAAAAGAGAGGTGATATTTGGAAGTTTTCAGAAGTATATTGTTTGCCAAAAATGTTGGGTGGTTTTATTTCTCAATTTCCTTGTCATGCCAGGTAACATCAGCTCTTGGCAATAGAACAGAGGGAAAGAAAGGCACTCTGAGGTTGTAACAGAGTTATTTTATGGAGGTTATTGGATATCCCAGTTTGGATAAATTGGCGTGAATTGCTAGGCATTCCCACTTACAGGCAGAGTGCGCAGGACCACTTATTCAGAAGGACTCAGTGTGGAACTGTATGTACTGACCTTGTAAGCCAGCTTTTCATCATAACAAAATTCTTGCAATTAGTAGCTTATTTATGGCTTGTGCTAAATTGGCCCCGAGAAAATGTTTTTTAAACACAAACATTTTGGGGCTGAACAACAGGGGATGGTGCCTCAATTGCTCATCTGAGAGGTCACGTGGGACTGTGGGCGGCCCAGTGGGAAGGACCTGCTTCTCCTGTCACCTGCTGACAGTCACACCCTCAGCTCTCTGAGGCTCCTGTATGATGGTTGCCCCCACCGCCATGGCCCCTCAGAGCTGCTACAGGGGAGGAGAAATGGCCCCATGACTTCAGATCCATTTATCGATCTGTCCAGAGGAAGAGTGTGCATCTTTTCCTCTATCATCCAATTTTTCACTGTCCTCACACAGTTTTGTTAGTTTATTAATGCTTCCACCTCTGTAAACAATACATTCTTTCACCTTGTGGGCTGTGGTAAGGCGGGAGACCAAGCCAGGCACAGCCTCTCCGAATTCTGGTCTATATTGTGAAGGAGTTGAGCTGTGTGATCCTGAAGGTGTTTCACAGCCTTGAAGGTGTCTTTGATGAGTCTGTGAAATTAAAATCACCTAAACCTTACGTTTTATGGTGGACTGAAAAAAATCTCACCAT